ACTCCTTTTTTCTTTTCTAACAAGATGACTACATGATTGTACAAAGGGATTTCAAAAAAGTCTGTGGGAAAACAGTATTAAAACATGAGTTTGTGACCAGTAGTTGGCTTAATGCCTATGTCACTGGACTCCCATGTAGTCGACTACAGTCCAAGTTCCGGACCTGGTGGCTTAAACTCACACCGGGCACATGTGTGTGCATGCCCAAGATCCTGAGAGGAGAATGGAGGAGAAGGGATTACAGTGTGGCCATCTGTCCTTGGAGGTGATTTCTCACTTTTTGTGTCTCTCTTTCTGGCGAGCACACGCACCCTATAGCAAAAACCTCTCAAACAAACAAACAAACAAACAAACAAAACCATGAATTTAATTGGGTCAAAAATTTCTGAAATCAATGCACAATGTATTTTCATTTCATGCATCTTCCATGAACCTTTTAAAGACTCCCCTAGTATTTCTTCCTTTTTTTTCTTTATTCATGACATAGCATGTGCACACATTAGAGAGAGAAAGAGAATGAGCACCTTCCACAGCATCTAGTCAGACCACAATCACTTACCTCCATTCCTTCATGCCCTGGGTAGTCCTACTTGTTCCTGCATGCTTTGGGCTTATTAGGCCATGGATCTGAATCTCAGTTTCCATAGGGAATTGGCCATGTATAACCACTATCCATGGAGATAGCCTACCCTTCATTTTCTTTTTTTTTTTTTTTTGAGAGGTTTTTTCTATAAGGCACTTGCACTCGCCAGAAAGGCAGAGAGAGAGAGAGACAGAGAGACAGAAAGCAAGAAATCACCCCCCAGGGGGAATGGCCACACTACAATCCCTTCTCCTCCATTCTCTTGTAGGGATCTTGGGCACGCATGCATGCACACACGCCCAGTGTGAGTTTAAGCCACCAGGTCCGGCACTTGAACCGTGGTCGACTACATGGGAGTTCAGCGACATAGCCATGATGCCAACTGCTGGTCCCCTACTCCTCATATTTCTAAAAACAATTACACTTCAATCTCTTTGGAATCATATACATTTCACACCAGATATTGATGCCTAGAAAGAGAACCATAACCTTTTGAGAACTATCTTTCAAAATTACCCTGTGTGGAAGGATAAGGAATTGACCATCCCCAATGGGAGGTGTTTTCTCACTTTCTCATCTCTCTATTTCTCTCTCTGGCAAGTGCACACATCCTCTGGCAAACTAAACAAAACAGAACATAAACAAGCATGCCTCAATAGACCTACGTTCTTGCCTGGAATCAGCATTTATATTTCTGAAAACAAAATCACCGTCTGATCCCCACAATTTACCATGGAGGAAACTTGCCAACGGTGGTAAACCAAGTTAGAGTTGGGCCTAGAGCCCAGGTCCCTCTCACCAATAGGCTCAACAGGAACATTTATCATAGATTCTTACATTTAAAATGACATCAGTTGCCATTATTTACTAGAAACAATTTTCTGGGTCCTTGGATTAGTCAAATACAATAACTAGAAGTAAAATCTTTTACCTATATGGGGTAATTAGTCCCATCTTTAGACTTGTTGGAAATCCATGAAGCCCAATTTATTTCCATAATGTAATACTGCCTTTCATAAGCAGTGAGGTTGGGCTAAGATAGCCAGCATTATTCCAAGCCAGAATGATGTGGCAAAAAACTCAATCCCATATAACAAAAAGATTTCAAAGGCCAAATAACGACCTTCCCTAATTCAAGTAACAATCATGACAACAAATTCTAATGTATTCCTTTATAAAATAAATATATGTCGGAGAAGGCCAGTTATAGTGAATTTTTGTTTATCAAGTTGTGTATAAAGGCACTAACTAGGAAAGCTACTTCTTCCAAAGAAACCTGTTGTGAATTCTTTTATAAAGCAAATGACCCCCGTATTTTCTTTCTTTTTCTTTTTCTTTTTTTTTTTTTTCTCTTCAGATTGTGTGTGCCTTGTGTGTGGAAGGGGCAACTTCCCTCTTTTCTCTGGGTAAAAAGGGGTCAGAAGCCCACCATGGAGGAGAATTTGGCAGTACTGCCACCCTGTTTAATGCCCCCTTCATTCCTCGGACCAAATTCCAACCTTTGACTTGGGGGTGGGACCCTAGATTTTGGACCAAAGTCCACAAAAGACAGCAAGGAACGAAAAGTAAGTAAGACTAAAGACAACACATCATAGTAAAACACCAACAAAAATTCCTGGGGACAGGAAATCAATGGATCACAATTCTAAACAAATTGGTTTAGTCCCCAGCTAATTAACTTGTCAAGCAGATCTCTAAACCCACTGAATCCATGGGAGAAAGAGGTGATGTAATAGGAGATTTGGAAACATTTACCCATTTACCATCCTAAAAGGCTCAGTCACGACCACACACACCTCTCTCCACCCCTTTCAGTGGGTTTTAGCTAGGCTTAATGGGCGCAAAGGACAATTTCTACCAGACAGTCCCTAAGAATAGATTGTTCTCATACATTCCAAATGCTCAGTCTCCATGGAGGAGGCTACCTGGTTGCAAGCATTTCCCAAGAGGGAATATATCTCCTATTCCTACTCATTGGTAAGCCCCCACACACACCTCAAACAACACAAAACAACTTCTAACCATCCTGAGAACTTCAGGGCACTTTTCTAGGGTAAAGGAAAAGAAACGTCAAGAGGGGAGCCAGAGAGTGTGAGAAACTTCTCTTGTCTCCAAATGGGGAAAGAGGCCTTAAAAAGCTGGATCAAAGAAAGAAAGGGGGATGGGGGAGAAGGGCTACTTAATGACAAAGAAAACCTTTTAAAGAAGGCACAGGCCCTGGGAGAGGGCTCTTAGGAGAGGCACAGAAGCAGATGTACCCACTTAGAAATCTGGCACTCAATGGGACTTCAAGGTCAGCATCCATCCCCCTCTACCTTCTCATTAGACTGCTCTTAAAGCATTCTAGAAAGTCTGCTTCGTTCTTTAGAAATCTTCAGAAAAAAGCAACTCCACAGAATGCTTTCGTTCCGCATAAGGCTAATAAATCCGACTTCATAAACCAGAAATGAGATTTTAATTTCCAAATTCAAAACAGTATTGAACATGAATTTTTAAAGCTCCCTTTCAAAAATCTTTTAAATAGGTAAACAGATCCACAACTTGCACATAACAGCTACTCTACATACAACTGTGGTCAGAGGTTTATTTCACATGTAGAGTGTGAAGTCAGAAAAAGCACTTTCAATTTTACAGAGCCACAAACTATACCAAAGAAAGAAGTGACTTAAAATGAAGTATGAATTAGTGCCAGAAAATGTCTGTAAATGACACCAGATAAATCCATACAGAATAGCTGGAACCTGAGTTATCATCTGTAAATAGATGCAACTACGCTACAACCACCTGGCTGTTAAAATGTCCCAGGCCAGTTATAAAATGTAGTGTGGTCAGGCCAGCTTTTCCTTCCCAGCTGATCTGAAACATGATAGTTTTTAAAAATTGTCACCATGTAATGTACCTTCTCTACCTTCCTGCTTTCCTTTCCTGTATTAAAATCAATCAAAAAATAAGTTTAAAATGTAAAAAAAAAAAAAAAAATCCCAAGAAAGCAATGTGTTGGGGGTATCTCAGTTAACAGGCCTTTGAATACCAAAATTCTTAGAAGCTTGACACACTTGTCCAATTGAAAATAAGTGGGAGATGGGTGAAAATTTATCCCACATCCAAAATGGCATTTCAAACTATTCTTAGCTACTAAATGAGGGTGCTGAAAGGTCTAACTCAGAAGCCTACACAAAGGCTGCCCTGAGAAAGAACTTTTCACAAAGCCTAGCTCAAGAAGACTTAAATACCCTTAGCCCTTCATCATTGAAGATTATGGTGACTAATTATCTTCCTCTCTGAATGGGAGGTTATATTCAGAGTTTTTAAAATGCCTCCCACCTTCCACTCTTCATGGCAGGGAGGAAGGAAAACTGAACTATACACCCCAAGTTATCAGAAAATTCTTTCCAAAACATATATTAGAGACTAGAAATGTAGTTTCTCACAAACTGGCCCTTTCCTCTCTCATTTAACTGTATTTAGTCCCTTGCTGCAAATTATTATTCTATTATTATCAAGTGGCAATTTACCAGGGACTGTGCAAAGTCTACAAAGACTTACTTTTCCCTCTCACTTTTCCTTCTCTTCATTTTCCTATGTCCATGAGTCCATCTTACTGAAGTGCCAAGGTACAGTGGCTCAAACTTGGACCCTCGAGACACCTGCCTGTTCCCACAAAATAAGTTACTAACATCTTTGGATCTTATAAAGCAGATAGGGAGCAACCCCCTCCTCACCACTCCCTCCACACAGAGAGACACAAGCACAAACATATATGGCGGTCTTCAAAAAGTATGGAAAATGAGTATTAAGTATTATGCAAAGATTTCACATTTTTTTCTGTACCAAATAAACTTTAATTCCATTTTTCCAAGAACTTCTTGAAGTCCCTGCATACACACACACACACACACACACACACACACACACAAACAAGGAAAAGTAGCATTGTATTGTAGATTGTGCTCAGGCTTCAAAACGTCAAGAATTCACAGCCCCAGGCTGAGGGAGTGTGAGTCCCCACCCTGAACCAAAGCATTTAGGAGAAACTCATCTACAATAGTTATCTAAGATAAGTAAGGACACACGCTGGGCTAAATGTAGACCTAGGCTTTCTCAGGTCTTTAGCTCCTTACATGATTACCTAGAGACCTACAAGGACCCCAGAAGGCAAGGAAGTAAAAGTACCATTAAGTATTGGTACCCCCACCAACATCTCCTCCCCAAAGTAGGACGGGAAAGGAGAGTACACTCACTAATTTAACTTGCGGCACATCCCAGAAAACTCAGGGCCAGCTGCAAAGAAAGTAAAACACACAGGCAACCCCACACGCATCAAGAGCAACTCACTCACGCTGAGGGCACGACCAAGTACATGCCACCATGGATTCCTGCCCCAGTTCCCCGCGAAAAGTAACCACGCGTCTCCTACCCCTGATGGCAACGAAGACAAGGTGACGACTATCTGCTCACTCAAGTGGCTTCTGTCCGGGCGGTGGCCAGGGATGGGCAGGGCGAAAGCCCCAACTCCTGGCTGCTCCCCTCCTCGCCGCTCCGTCCGGGCTCTCCTTGGTGGCAGTGGACAGGCAGGATACCGGGCCGGAGGGTGGAGCAGCGGATGGTCGGAGGCGAGACAGTGTGGAGGTGTGGGGGAAGGCGGTGAGAACTAAGAAGAGGAGGCGAAAGAGAGCGGAGATGGAGGACTAATTCAGGGGTTCTACCAGTTTAGGCAGCCAGAAAGCTCCAGGGAAGGAAGGGGCGTGACTGCGATGAAGCCAGCTCCTGGGCAAAGGATGGGAGGTACAGGAGGGGGACGAAAGGGTGCCTTTTCTTCTTGCGGTGAGCGGCTAGGACCGCCCAGGAGGGGAGGGTGGACTCAGGCAGAAGGGGAGGCGGAGTAGAGGGCGGGGAAAGAAGGGCGGGAGCCTGCCTAGACCCT